TTGGCTCCCTGGTCCAATTCCCCACTATGCCCACAAATAACTCTGGCAGGGAGTAAGCATCCCAAAGAAAGTTGAAAAGGGAAAGGAAAGAAGTGCTGAAGCTAGCACTGTGGTCGAGTAGCTGTGCCATAGCTTTACTGTCAAGCTGGAAAATTTATCCCAGTGGAAACAAAATCAATCAAGCACATTGGTGCAAACCCATAATATACAAGTGTTTAAACAATTTTAACTTAAAATAATCAAGAGTACATTTTGTGCTATGTTTAAACAGCTTTAATTAAAATCCACCAGCTCATTTCAATGCCGTCAAAGCAAAATGATCACCCTTTTACACTGCATTGCAAAGAAAAATTCATTTTATTGCATAATTATGACTCTGCATGGTTTTGATCTTCAGTATTTAAATGATAATTCAAGGCCCCATTTATAAAACTTTTTTAAGATCTGGATGATCTAAAGTTGCCCTGTTTTAAACATTCCCTTTTTCCTCAGAAACTAAACATTAATCTGTCACGTCTGCACAACAAAATTTCCTATTCTTGGAGCTGTGGTTAAATGACTTAGACCCAGCCTTCCTCCCCCTATCCCCTCCCACACCTTTCCTTTAAATTTCAATAGTTTTAAAGAATTGTCATGGCAATAAAAGCCTCTGTGAGACAATGGTAGGGACTGAAATTTCCCTTTATTCCACAGCAAATTTGCCTTCAGTGTTGCAAAATTCAGAGAGTATGTGTCTGTGGGTCTGATGTTGGATGGTAGACCTCATAAGCAGTCCTGACTCCATTTTCACTTTTGACCCTGCTGATTGGATTAACAAGTCCAAGACAAAATGCTAACTGTAACCCTTTTTTCAATGCTGAATTTTAATACTTTTTTCTGATCATGATCCTTGGGAAATATGAAGTTGTTGTAATGTTATGTCAGAAGCTTTGACTATTTAACTCAAATTGTTTAGTTATAACTTTGGAAACTCCCTCTTTTGGTTTTGTTTTGCTTTTATGTCAATAAAATAAGTTGTTGTTACTGTCTTTATTAGGTAATTGGTAAGATTGTGAAATATTCATTTATAGTATTAATGTTTCCTGTAACTTTCCATAATCATAAGATATTATTAGTTGCTGTGGAGATGTTCTTCATAAATTTTGGACTGTATTGTGATGGTTTCATACCATGGGTGAAATTTTGCCCTACCACAACCACCCAGAACCCTGTGTTCTAGGATTTGGTGTCTGGCCGTGCATGTTGCTGGAAGAGACAATTTATTCTCACTTGTTTATGTGTAACTGCATTTGCATGGTGGTTAAGATTAAAGCATATATGAACTTGAGTCTTGCTTAAGGCAAATCAGGTGTATATGAACACTGAGTTCTCAATACTATGAAGAGACCACAAGGGCTGTCTAAAATAATTACACCCTTGCTCTTGCTGTCTGGGAAAATCCAACAACTCTGTTCAGCAAGACCATCTACCTTTGGTAGTTTACATTAATTCTTTTTGTGCTTATTCACTGTATCATAACCTCCAGCAAACAAATCAGATTAATTGGGTCCAAACAATGCAGGTTTCCATTGATATTTTCAAAAATGGTTTAAATAAAATAAATAACCACATATCATCTGTATATAATTAATCTTAAACATCCTTATAGCTACAATAATGCAGGAGATCTTGCAGAGAAAGAAAAAGTACTGGAAAAAACCCAAGAGTTTTAGATAAGTTTGGGGATGCTGTTCTGTGTATAAGAAGAGTGCAGAAACAGCTCTGGCAGGAGGCAACAAGCTGTCATGAAATCAGTCAGTATCTTGCAAACTGTGTGAGTTGGTAGCACAAACTAAAATCACTCTGCAAAAAGCAGCCAAAGAATCCTTGAGAAAACTGTGAAAATGTCAGGCTTTTTCCTTTGGACAGCTCACAAGGAGAAGCACATCTCCAGTGCATATTCAATCTCTCCTCTGCAGCTCTGCTGTCCTAAAGGCAAGCTGCCACTGCTAGAAACAACTTGGCAGAGGAGTTGCGTGCAATAGGAAACGTGTTAATCATTGAGGTGATGAGTGGAGAGAAGATGTAGTAATTACCGACCTATCAAGTGCTCAGGTGAAGTGTGGTAGCGGACTTGCAGGGGTGGTGGTATTCAAGACTGAAAAGCTTCGATAGAACTGGTAGGAAGTGATAATTTTTTTCTGTGCCTGTGGAATACTAGTATTTCAAATGTGCTTTTATGGCAAAACTTTGAAGCTGAAAGTTCTGTAAGTTACTGAGTTAACTTTTCCATTTAAATGAAAAAAAAAGTCATTTTTTTAAGAAAAAAAAAAAAGACCTATAAGCCCTTTAGACTTGTCTTTTGTCTTAACCACAAACAGCTGGAAATTTACATAGAACAGAGACAGTAGGAAGGAACTTATTTTAATGGAATGACTGTCTTGTAGATTGGCAGAATAAGGCTGAAAATACAGAAAAGCCAAGTTTTCCAAAATGACCTATGGTCATCAGAATTCCTGTATGATGGCTTTCAGCATGACACTCCTCTATACCAAAGGTCATTCTCCCTGAAAAATTAAAGCTTTTTCAAATGTCTTGCATAGGACTCTGCATGTGCTCTAGTATAATGTGGTAAGTAATGCCTTCTGTAGTTTTTATAAGCATGACTTCAATAGCACTGGATAAACACATGTAATGGTTCAGATTGGTGGCTGAAATGGAAAATTTTAATACGTATAGCAAAAGCTTACTCATAGGCAACATATTTTTCTAATACATGTACCAAAAAGTGCATCCCCATGAAATATGAGGTGTTATTCATGATTCTTTTTGAAACACTAATTGAAATGTCTGTAGGGTGCATGATTCATAGACCATTTGTGGGATAGCCTAAAGACTAGTAACCTCAATAGCACTGACACATAACAGGAAACCTGATGTGATACGTTATAGGAAACCTGATGGATGCTCAGCCAAAGATTTTTCTTTAATCTGGAATCTCTTTAGGAAGGAAAGGAGAGGAAATGTGTCCGAGTGCTGTAACACAGCCCCTGCTGGCACGAGCTTGTGATGACACCACTGGTCACTGGCTTTATAAGATTTCTGAGGAATATAACAATATTAAGTATTCATAAGACAGCTGAAACTCCCTGTTGCAGTCTTACAAGTGAAAGCACTTTGCATAGTGTAAAGATTCAGGATATCTACCTCCTTTAATGTTAATACGAGGTAACCAGCATAACACTGGTAAGAACTGAATACTGTTGCCAGACATTATTTTGAAGGCATGTAGCATGGTGAATTAAGACTCTGTAGGTTTAAATTCTCTTATGAGCTTTTTTCATAACTTTACATGCTGAAACAGTAAATTTAAAACCATGGGCTGAAATTTTTCCATATTATACCTCTGCAGGGAAATCTTTCAGTTCTTAGAATTCTGTAGATTCTGAAATGATGTCAGGAAAAAGATGAGAATTTGCCCATGGTAAATACACTTATAAGTGTTCATTTGCAAGGTCTAGAGCTTCATCCTTCTGAATTAGATGATGAAAATTGACAGGAACACAGGTCTAATTTTGTTTTATACAGCCCTATGAAAGCTTGCTTAATTTAGGCAAAGTATAAGGTTTTGCAGGAAAATGAAATAAATCCTTATGCACACAGTGAAAGGAAAAGCTAACAACTTCATCTCTCCAAAGACACCTTCTTTCATGACACATACTCACTTTCATCACAGATACAATCTACAACCAAGCCCTGAAGGCTCCATCTCCATAGATACCTACAAACATAGTCGAGCTCCTCATAAGTACAACTTTAGTTCTTCACAGCTGTGGTGATTCTAGGAGCTGGGAGACTCCTTCCCAAGGTCTCAACATTCTCCTACACAACCTGTATAGATAAGCTGTAATAGGTTATTTGATATAACTGCAGAAATATGAGCAGGGAAGAGGAACAAAAAGCAGTGTCAGAGGCGAGCACAGGATTGTAGGATAGACCATTGAGGGAAGGTGGGAGCTGGTGTTAAAACCTGATTTTGAGGAACAGCATGATATGAGAATAGAAGAGAACAATAAAGTTATTTCATAACTTTTCATATTTCTGATTTTGCAATGCTAGTATTTGCTTAATGTTAATATGGAATTTGAAGTCCCTCAAGGTAGTATAAATTGATAGACAAGCTTTCATATATACACAGCACAGCTGGAGTAGAGCTGACCTTACAATGCCTAGACATTAGACATTTAACTCTGAGTGAGACTGTGTATTTCCAGAGTGGGATTCATCTGGCTTGTCTTAAAGCTTAGGATGAGCTGGATGAGCTGAATGAGCTGAACAAACATATTTCTATATTTTGACTAGAGAAGTTGACTAGTTCAGGTTTAGACATTAAACTGTCAAAAATCTGAAGCAAAGCGAGAAGAATAGCTTGTGAATTTTGCCTGCAAATCTATGTCTAACAGGTACCGAACAGAATTTGTGTTCACATACCTGTGAGCAGTTTTTGATCCTGTGTTTTAAAATATAGTCCCATGGTATAATCCATACAAACACACCCACACACAGATACACTGAAGCCACACTGTGAAATGTGTTTCATTAGAATAAATTGACATTAAAATTATCTGTTAGGACAGGGTTTCTTTTGTGTGAGCCATGTTGTTTTAATCCAGGATTAGTAACTTTTGGAGGTGTCCATCCGTCTTAAAATAATAATGTGTTACAAAGGAAGAAACAGGGGTCTTGATAGGAGGTACAGGATTCCCATAATCTTTGAATCAATCATTGAATCCAGTCCAGTATTTGAACATACAAGGAAAGTCAAAAAGGTGGAAAGCAGGTTAAATACAGCTTAGAGAATTGTTAATATTTATTTCCCACTTCACTGTACTGTTACGTCACTTCTGTGCAAAAAGATAAATGCTTCAAATCATCAACTGACAAGAGAAAGGGAAATCAAAAGCAGGTGAAAGATGCTAAGAAAGGCTACAAGAAGTGAAGTCTTACTCTTGCTTTGGAACATGAAGTCTCGTGCTTTATATCACTGTGCTCTGTACACCCTGAGTCTGGCAGTGCTTGTAAGTAATTGCATGAAAAAAAAAAAAAAAGCTTTTATTTAATTGTTTTTCAATACTTGGAAGTTTTCTTCTTGGAGCAGATGGTCAGAGATTTACTTTTTGTATGAGTCTCTTTATTTGCTTTGGATTCCAGTTAAACAAGGGAAGATGCTATGAAAAGTGTGAACAGCGGCAGAAGGGACACACATTGCAGAAACTATGTATCAATCATTTCACTGCTTTCTTACCAAATGCTCACTAAGGAGAAACAACATAATTGGCAGAATCCCCCCTTTTTGTGTGTAGGCTTTAAAAGATTAGGACAAAGAAGAAACCAGAGGAGAACTGTTATGTAAAAGGATCTGAGTTTCATTTAAGAGTTTTAAATTTCAGAGTAAGCAATCTTATTAGTTACAATTTCAGCTGCCTTGTTTGTAATATTAATGTTATTTACATATGTGAGCAGCTAGGATGCTACAGATAAGAAATTAGTCAAATGAGCAGGGGTGGTTATGGCACAATCAGAAATATCCAAATACATTAAAAAGCATAGAAGTCTTGCTGATATTTTGCTTTGGACAAAGATTAGTAAACCAGCATTCAGGATCACAGAAAGGTCTGTGAAAAGTGGGGGAAGGATTTTTTCTTTGCTTTTGGGAGTAATTCCATTTATAGCATCTTCCTTTTGTGATCCCTTTGCTGTATCTTTTCCTCTTCCATGGGAATCTCTTCTCTGAAGAAGCATTTCATGAGCACAGCAGCTTGGTTTGTGGGTCAAGAGAAAAAAAACACTGTGAAATGACTGAAAAGACTTTTTGCTGATGCAAAGCTATGGTTCCTTTGTATCATCTGTGTGACAAACTCCACTTCCCTCTAGTGGGAGTAGATAAGTATGATTGCTCATAAGTAGAATATTGGGATCCATTGCTAATAGTTAACTATATCACTGAAGGTCTCTGTAAGAACCTGAGCCATTTATCCAAGACATAGCACCTTCTTCTATAAAGTTGGATTAGTTATATTGTGATTATGCACTGATCAAAAACAAGTTTATGCATAAGTGTATAATAAAATTTTCATGGAGTGTGTTGCATGTCTTATTATAATAGGGGATAGATAAACAACTCTTATTTGAGCAGAAAATGGTGGGAAAACTGCCATCAGTTTTCACTGTCGGTGTAACTTGATACTATGCTTTCCCTGGAAAAGCTGAACTCAACTTTTGGAGAAGTTTTAAATGCTTAAGAGGCTGACTTATAGCTTCATAAACTATTATTTTTTAATTTTTTTCTGTCAGTGGTTGTATGTTGCTTACTGTAATTTGAAAAGAATGGCAATATTAACCCATTCTGATGCACATGAGAGAAAATGGAGGAAAAGCATTATTCAAATTTCGTATGCCATTATGAAAATACTGAGAGTAATTAAAAAAAAGAGAAGTTTACTTTCTTATGTGTTCATTTCATGTCCCTCTTTAGAGCTGGATGTGGAAGAGGGTTTTCTCTTGTTTTTGTTGCTGGTTGTTTCTTTTTTATTATTATTTTTATCACATTAAGAGGACTTTCAGCAGAAGCCCTCTGACAAGGGCTGATTTTTGCTAGTTATGCTAACCCACAGCTCCATTTAATACAATAACTGATGGATATAGCAACTACAAATTCACATTCTATTTAGAACTTATCAGTGTTTATTTCATTTATAGTTTACTGTTTTTCATTAGCAAGAAAATTTTTGTATAAAGTTATTCAAGAGGACAACCTGAAATACTAGCTATGGCCCTCTCAAAAGTATTTTCTATTTTGGCTCCTGTTATGTAATTCCTATAATTTTTATCCTTATAAACTTCTACTAACATGGCTAACTCAAAGATATTATGGAGCTTCATTTCTTTAGGGATCCTATAAACCAGAAGAACTTGTCTTATTATCAGCTGAGCTACAATGCAGAGTAGCTCTGTTATAATGATCTGTGCACAAACCTGTGCAATGTCAGTAGCTGTAGTAAGTGGTATTCATCTAGCTCAGTGATGAAGCCCAAATTTAAAAATAACCATGAATTTAACAGTCAGGGGAACCCTAGTGAATTGAGTCTAAACCATAGCTCATTCCATGCAGAACTAAATGTATAAAATAATTCAACTGATCTATGCTAACTTCTCTCTGTTATCCTCATGAAAGGAACCTGAGATGACTAGATCAGATAGTGATGTCTCTGTAGATGTAGACACGAAAGGGAGCTAAATCACATACACAGACATTTATTCTTACCTTAAAGAATGGCTTATACATCTATCCCATTATTTGATGCTTCCAGAAATGGGCAGAAAAGAAGAAGGTAGAAAATGAGATTAAACAATTAAGTCTATAGATGTTTTCAGAGTAATTTGGAACCTGATTCTACATCTGTTTGGGAATACTATTCAGGCTGTTTGAAAAGTACAAGGGTCTGCTAGATGTAGTCAAATACTCTAGGGAATGAATATCTCTAGAACACAGCCTAGGAGTGGAATAAATCTTTTTAGTTTATTTTACCTGAGTTTCTGTCATAGCAGACCTTACGCTCAGTGTTTATTCAAGCAGCAGTTAGTTCTGACTTGAATATAAACTCTGAGAGGATTTCTTAAGGTCAGGGCTTCTTGAAAGACGAGGTAATAATTTAAATACCCATCAATTGATCAGCCCAATTTTTTCATTTGAGATGCATGTGGTAACGTGTTCTCACAAATTTGGAGACTTAGAAAGAAAAAAAACTGTTTCCTGTACTGGTGAATAAGCCAAACAAGCTTTGTTCTTGCCATGAACATTTTAGTAAGCAAAGAGAGTTTTCATAGGCATAACCTAGTAATTTTTTTGCCAGGAGAAATAATTTAGGACTGTGCAAATGGGTACATTTCCTTCCTACTGAGGTTTTTTTGGGCACAGTTTGCCGAACCAAGAGCATGTTGTAGAATATTTTTTCAGTAAATCAGTTGACTGTTTTTTCTACTGACTAATAAAACTACTTTTTGCAATAGCTACTGTACATAATAGGTAATGAGCTTTTCAGCATAGATTAAATTCATTGTTCAGGGTGAGTATAAGGGGGAAGAACTTATGCTGGCATCTGAAGAGATATCAAGTGGTCAACGGTATTCAAGACAGATGCTAATAGTCTGTCATCCTGCCTACTATGACATGTCTTAGTGGAGCAGACGGGTTCCCTAGACTACCTGTTTTTACTGATCACGGCTGACATCACTGAGGCTTACCACACAACAGATCTCCACCTCCTGGGGCTAAGGCAATGACTGGCCCCTGCTCTATCCATTCACAGTTACCTTCCTTTCAAAGGTAACCAAATCCAAGCTTCATTCAGGCTTGAGCATGGGGCCCTCCTTTTCATTATTGCCTTAAACTGATCCATGGAACAGCTATCTGTCAGTTTGGCAGAAAAAAAACATCCTCCTAAAAGTGCATTAAACGCGAAGCACACTTGGTCCTTCAAGGACGTACATGTGGTTGCCATTTTTAAGTGCCAGGGTCCAAACCCCAGAAGGCTGTACAAATAATCCAGTATTCCCCAGAAGCCTGAGAGCCTCGATTTTTTAGCCCATATGCAGTCCAAATGCTCTGCAGACCGACATGAGATATGGACATTAAAATGCAGGGGAAACAGCAGCTTATTGAAATGGATACAATCTGCCCTCTGGATGAACTGAAATCCAGCTATTTATTTTTTTGAAATTCCCTGAATATTAATCTTCCCTGGGTAGAATAAAACTGAGCTGTATGCCAGCCACCTGTTCAGGATGCAAGTCTCATCCTGAGTTTATTTTCTGTTGTGTGTATCTGTGTCTCTATATCCATATTCACACATACAGAGCACACTGGCACCAATGGCCAGGGTGTAGATCTAAGATGAGAGTGTCTCTGATGACAACTGGTCTTCTGGGACTGTGACAATGGTTATGGTTGTACAAACCACATATTGCTTTCTTTGTGAAAAATAGATGTGTCTGCTTCTGCACAGTGGGTACATCAGTTGTGGTGTGTATCAGCCTGCTGCAGACTTTGTCTTTTGGTCAAAGTACTTTGGTGGCCAAGGTACTCTGAATGTTTCCTAATTCTGTTGTGGAGTCCATCTAAACACACATCTGAATAAGGACTAAAGCAACTAAAAGTTCCTGCTGTTAAAACACTGGGTGCCAATTTTTTCTTTATATGAGCATACCAGACCAACAAAGGATTTGATGAAGAGGTTTTTTCCAAAGAAAGGAATTTTGCCTCCCACCCTGTGTAAAGAAAATCAGATGACAGAAGGGAGAGGAGAGATTCCCTCCTTTTGGGATGAAGAGCTCATTTAGAAGACAATTTTGCAGTAACTGTACATGGTTTCAAGATGTTTCTTTGAAGGCTGGAAAGGGCACGTCTATGCTAAGGACTAGGCTGGCTCTGTAGTATGCCCTGCAGTGCTGGGCTCTTCTCTGTTAAGAAAAGGAGCCTGTCCAAATACATGCTGTCTCCCTGGGTCCAGATTTAGCAGGGATAAAGTCAGGGTGCAAACGAGTCCTGCACTCAAATCCAGGCCCTAGCAAAGATGCCTTTCCTTATAACATAGCCAGAGAATCTTATAAACTTCCCAGTACAGAGCTGTAGCTACCGTCTTCTGACATCTGTACCACCTAATGATTTACACTGATGTGAAGTAGCACAGCTGAACTGCCTTTGACAGAGCTCATTTGGGCTCATCTGCAAAAGCATTGAAATTTGTGCAGAGATGGTGCCACCATTTGACTGCTGCACCCAAAGCTAGGATTATTGAACCCAAAGCTAGTATTCTATGTCCTTAACACAGCCCTGTTAGTTACAAAATTGAGTCTGGACTTAAAGGCTCATGGGATCCTACCCAACCCCTTCTTATTAATCAGGTGAAACTCCTCTACTCTCTGTAGGTTGCTGGGAATGTCCACCCAGAATGTGATTTTATGACACAGCTGAAGAAAAAGGAGGCTGAATGTCTGGAGGACCCAGAAAAGCATGAAAATGCAACACCAGCAGGTATCCATATGTGAGAGATTAAAAGAGTGAGAGAGAAACAACACCTTACCAGGGTCAGAATATAGCTATGCTGCCAAAGTGTATATCCAAGTGTTTTACTTATTGTCCCACATCCTTGTTCTCTGGTCAGCTCTTCTTCCATCCACTACCAGTCATCATCCACCTTCAATTCTGTTTTTCAATACTTTTTTCACATTCAAAAATGTATAGTCAATCCATCTGAGTGAATCTTGCATCCTTGTCCTATTCGTTCCCAACTGGATGCTATCATGGCATCACACTTGCTCTGTGAGAGCAAGCTGATATTTAAAAGTAGTGTAACCCCTTAACAAATACCATCATCTGCCCTTACTTCCAGCAACATTCTCCCTCCCATTTCCACAATACATTTTCACTTATTGCATTATGTCTGAAAACCCACCCTATTCTTATACAGGGGGTCTAACTGAAGCAGATTAAATAGTCCCCTGGAGGTATTTGTTTCTCACTACAGAATAAAAATTGTGGCTAAACTATTTTTTATAAGACATGTAAGTGGTGAAGCGGCAAAGTTTAAAAAGGTTTGGGGTTTTATTATACTCAAATATAATTATTCTTAAAAATAAATTTTGCTTTGTATCTGAGGTTGCAAGAGAGCTTGGGACAAATTACTGTGCTGGCCAGAGGCAGATGCTGGAGACACTCTTGCCTTACCATGCCCAAATATCCTCTTTCACTTCATGAAGGAGTCAGGTGATGTACTATCATGGTTGTACTCCTATTATGTGTGTTGCATGCCTGGCAAAAACATTTCTAAAAATGGGTGGTGAAGACAGAGCATTCCAAGTTCCCACTCTCTAGATGGATCAAAACATTACTGCAAATATTTCAGTAGGATCTAAGGGAGCTTAGCAGTTCTTTTCATATTTTAAATGTATCCATAAATATATCCATATATATATGGATATATCCATATACATCCATAGTCTGTGATGAGGCTATGAGCCAAAAAACACTGAAATCAATAAAGTGATTTCCATTGATTTCTATATACTTTGGGATCAACGTGTTGCTTGAGTTCTCCACAGACCTTGTATGGGGGTTGTTTAGGTCAGAATTTAAGCATAGGGCTTTATGAGATTTATGCCCTGATTAGTGTGGAATGAAATGAAAGGCAGAGGAATGAATAATGTGGCTGTTCTTTAAAACCAAGGAGACACAAAGCAGAACTTTGTCATTGAAGGAGCATATGTGTTGGGTCAAATGCAAGACTCTGCAAACTAATGCCTTTGTGGCTGCTTACTCTGTGAGCGAATATGGCTAGGAACAAACTGCAAGCCCGTAAGTAGGAAATCACCTTCCAGGAAAGACCTAGATTTGGCAGTTCCACAAGAAAAAGAAACTGCAAAGCCCAATCTCTGCCTCACCCAATACAAGCAAGTTATAAATGAGGGATAAGGAAAATCCTTTTCATCTGTGGAGATTCATTTCCTGCCCTGGGATTCTTTTACTTACCCCTCATCTGACTCATAAATCTTTTTATGGAAACATGTTATCCTCATAGAACAAACTGCTTATTCCAGCCCCTGATCTTCAAAGAAAGAATAAGCCCCAAGGAAGGTGGGAGTGAGAAAGGATACATTAGGGGGTGAGTGCTGAACAAAGCAGAATTCTGGTGGAGCAGTGCATCCCAATTTTCTTCAGTAGACATCCTTGCCCCTGATGGGATTTCTTCCTTATTCCTTCCCACCTCTATCTCTGTCACCTCAGTTGTCTCACTTCTTATCTCTAGATACATTTAAAAAATTCCTTTCTGACTACCTGGATGTACACATGCAAAATGTCCTATCAACTCAGTGAGATACTAATGGAGATGATCCTTTCCTCCTGGTATAACTTTCGTAAGAGCAAGAGGTGTTCTCATGTTTATTTTCTGTGTTATGGGACACTTATCAGAAAAAATCAGTGTTTCTGTTTCAGCTGGGATAGTAAAAAGGAACTGCACAAAGAAAGGCTGGTCTGACCCATTCCCTCCCTACCATATTGCTTGTCCAGTAGAAGATGAGATTCCACTTGACGAAGTAAGTTTAATTAAATATATGTGAGTGGTGTGCTGATGTTATAGGATACCTTTCTATTCCTGAAGACTATTGCGGAGGGAAATATACCTAAAGCTGAAATTTCTTACCAAGTGTGGAATGCAACTGAAATTTTTCTCTACTTACTTATTTTGGAGAATTACTAAGGATGTTTTATTATTCAGGAGTAAGTTTGTAACAAAAATAAAGCTAGCTGCAAATCCCATGCCATCATGCAGCACTACTGAACTTGCTCATGGCTGTAACAGCTGGAGATATATCACAAAATAAAAATATTAATTCAGACATTTCAAAAATATCAGTCAGCAAGATGATTCTCTGGCATGACAACATCAGTACATCAAAGGTGGTGTAACATTGCTATTTCAAACAAATATCTCAGGATGAGAGGGATTTCTTGTTTCTCATCCTGCGTAGCATAAAATACCTAATTCAACAAGAAAAAAAAAACCAAACAAAAAAACCCCCTACATCTCTGTAATGCAATCAGAATTTGTCATATTTCTTCAGCAAGTTTTGCACAATTGTTGATATTTAGAGGTTATATGTAAAGGGAAAATATAGTGCTTGAACTCTAATAAGGATACAAACATATTGTATAGATGTGCTTAGCTTCCTGTAACTTCTTTTCCAGAGAAAAAATTAGACTAATAGCCAGAAATGCATGGAACATGGATGTAGGATCCTCAGCACCTAAGATCTTACTTTGCTAAACCAACCTGAATTTGTAAAGGCAGGTGTAGTGATAGAACCTTTTTCTTGCTGGCAGAAAGTGATAAGGTCTCATTTTACAATGAGCTGAATTGTCTTCTGCGAGTGCTTGTTTCCATTCATTAACTAGAAAAGAAAAAAAAATAAGGGACAGTTTTGTGTTAACAGTTAAATTGTACAGTTCTGTGGCCATGCTCCCGTACAGTTTGTTTTACTATAAACTCATCTGCTCACACACAAGCAGCTAACTTTTAAGCACCTAAAATAAACGAAATCCTACATAATGTCAGACTTATAATGCCTTAAGTTATACTTATAGCTCAAAATAAATATCTGCCCTTCCCCACAGGGAACTGTGGCAACACACTGCATTGCTGCACAGATTTTAGGATATAAAAACCTTGAAATAGGACCTAAGAGAGAGACCATGTTAGATTTAATGGAAAGATTCACAGACTAAAGCTTATTCATTCTATTTTCTGATTCCATGTGTGATGACTGAAGTCAGCTTATCCTTACTCAAAGATCATGTCTGATAGAGGTGCCGTTTAAATTGAAATGGTTCTGATTGACATTCTGGGTGAGTAACAATTGAATTTGACAGCAAGAAAGAAGAGGGAGGAGGGGAGGAAAATCAACACCAGGAAAAAATAAAGCTCACAATGCAAATCCAAAAAAAAAAAAAAAGAAAAAGAAAAAGGAAAATAAGAAAGGAAGAATAAATAGCAAAAGTGTAAGTAAGGAAACTGAAGAAATTTGGAGAAACATAAGGAAAGGCTGAAAGAATTCTGTATTCATCATGCAGACAGCTGCCAGCAGTATTGTCCTGTGACTGCTGTGGAGAAAACATGGTACAAAATGCAGTGCTTATAAGAATGCATGAGTTTTTACAATGCCTTCTTGGAAGACTGGTTTGATTTTTTATAATTTTATGAATGAGCTTGAAACTGTCCTGATCAATACATGTTTCTTTATCAGACTAGGCTATGGGATGGGTCTTCACAGAAGAAACAATGAGTAATTTCAGTTGAATTGTGCTGTGGGATTAAAAGGGAGAAAAAAAAGGGAGTCAGGGATGTGAACAGATTGGAAGCACCAAAGCAAAACTACCAGAACCTATGAAACAGCTGTCATTTGCCTGCAAGCTATGTGACAAATAATTCTATTATTTTATAGAAATCCTACTTTTCTACTATAAAGATCATCTACACAGTAGGGTACAGTGTATCGATCACATCACTCATTATTGCCGTGACAGTTCTTATTGCGTTCAGGTATGTAAAGTTATTCTCTGACCTTGATTCTTTTAAAAGTTCTTGTATCTTAGGCTGTGTAAGACAACATTAGGCATGACAAAGTAATATTGATAGAAATCCAGACAAATAAAAATAAAAATTTCTAGCCATATTGATTCCATAATATTAAATTGAGGCTAGAAATGAAAAGCATATCAAGAAGAACTGGGAAATAAACCCTGACTGTCTATTGGCAACTCACTTTGATCCTAATAACCAGTAGTTAAACTCACTTGCTTTAGCTGGAATGAACTTTTTAATAAACTATGTGTGTTTGCTTTTTATGGCTTCAATGAATTTTGTATTAAGAAGAATGCACACAAAGAACTTGATTCTGAATCAATGTTCGTATGGCACTGCACATATTACTGTGGAAATATGTACAACTAAAGTCATATTTTGAAAGTTAGGCACTCTATATTTGGTAAGATTTCTCTCCTACTCAACTATCCAGCTATTAGATATTTTCAGATACAATTTAGATTGTCTCAAGTAAAACAGATTGATTATTTTCTCATTTAATGTAGATTTTATATTTGCTGCCATGTAGGATTTAAGTTATTAATCTATGTTTATTGCTTGTAAATCCTCAAGACAAAAAAGAATAGTTTTCGTATTATGTTGTGAGAGTCATGTTTCTCTGGGGAAAGTTTCTTGACCTCTGCTGGTTCCTAGTTCATGTCTGGAAGGCAACAGATATGTTTATTGACATCCACTCTGACCTCAGGGAAACAAACCAGCCTAAATGAGGGGAAGGAAAGAAACAATGGTCATAAAAAGACTTATCAATAGGGAGGAAAATGTTATAGTTAACAATGGGGTTGGCATTTGAGTTAAGTAATAAAATTCTGCACACTCTAAGTGAGCTTTAAGATTAGGTGACCCTGAGATTACTGGATCTGGATGGAATTCAGCTTTTAATTGAACTCTTTGCTTATGAGGTAAAATCCTCAGTTTCAAAGGAAAACATAAAGTTGATGCTGTATAACTCCTCCAAAAACTTGGGTTCAATAACGGTAAAAATTTAATCTGAATTAATTGAGAATTTAAAGTAGATGTGACAAATTGTTTTGAAGATTTCGTGTGCATTAATTTAATTTGTGAGAGTAACTTTGGAAAACTAAGGAAGAATTTTGTATTTCTGAATAAGGCTGTCTACACAGGGGTTTAATGCAGTTTAACTCACCCACGCATAGGGTATAGAAAGTCTTGCTAAATTTTACCCTGTTCATTGAGAAAACTGTCTAGTTAGTCTGGGATATCTCTTCATGCTTGTTCTTGGGCATAGTTTAACCATAGTCAGAATTGTAGCAGTAGAGGTCGTCCCTCAAATGCAGGTTTCTCTTGGCTCAAAAATAATGACAACCAGAGGCCTGGCTCAGATATACTAAACACAAACTAAAACTAAGATTCCTAAAATTTGGCAGCAGGTGGCAGCAACATCACCAGGGCGGCACCTAATAGCCAAAGAGTTTAAGATGTAAGGCTGTGGGGTGAACTGCTTTGCACGAGGAAAGTTTATAACTCTTCCTGCCTTCAAAGAGAGCTCAGTGGATGGACGTATACTTTCTATACGTGCTTGCAAGTACCTGAGATAAAAGAGTTTATTGCATATTTTAATTACTATCAGCACAAGTCAATTAATTACTTCAGAAGGACCTCTCCTTTTCTTGCAGGAGGCTTCGCTGCCCCAGAAATTATATCCATGTACAGCTCTTTTTGACTTTTATTTTGAAAGCTATTGCCATTTTCATTAAGGATGCTGTCCTTTTCCAAGAGGAAGACATTGATCATTGCAGCTTCTCTACAGTAAGCATATCAAAAGCAGGATACAGTGGTACTTGACATTTTTGCATACCATCTATATATGGTTTGACTTTTCATTACTTTTTTCCTTACTTTTTTCCTTTTTTTTCCCTCCCTCTAACATGGTAAAGAGAATTATATAATTCTTTTATTTGGTATGTTTTATCTCCATAACTGTGTACCTCATGCCCTTCTCTGTTCTGGATGCATCAATTTGTCATCCTGTAGTTCTCTACATCGCATATAGACTTTGATATAGAAAAAAGTAGTATCATTACACTATTACACTTCTGTAATCTAAAGGCTAAAATTTAAGATCTCTGAGTACCTCATAACACAACTTTTAAGAGATGTCTTCTGGAAAGGTTGGACTTCATGTTCTGACTGAAAGCTCTGAATTATAAACCACGAAACACACAAGGTACTAGGCAATTGACTTATCTTTGATCCAGCCACAAATACTGGTAATATGGCAATGGTTTTCAAACAGAGATTTATGGGATGATTATTCTGCATTCATAAAAATTTAGAACTGAGCATAAGTAGGAAAGTGGGTCTTTGAACGTTTGTTGAAGGGCTATGGAGTATTTGACTCTACTTGCATAAGGTGCACTGAAAGCAGTGCATTTGTGGGAGAAATCATATGCTATAGTTCTAACATAGAGACACAAAGCAAAATAAAATGGAGATTCCAAGGTATTATGATGATTCAAGTCTTACTATTCAGAAAATCATTTTACATTTGAAGCTCTCCCTTTAAACATGCATGAAATTGTGAGATCTTGTTCTTTGTAGATCTCAGCCAAAATTACAGGTGACTACTACAAATCAAGCACATGTATCCACAAGCAATGCTTAAATTATAAATTTCCTGTTCCTTAGACTGAATGCAAGATCTCAGTTGTTTTCTGTCACTACTTCATGATGACCAATTTCATGTGGTTGCTAGTAGAGGCTCTTTACCTAAACTGTCTACTACTCTCATCTCTTTCTCATGGAAGAAGATATTTTTGGTGGCTTGTTCTCTTTGGCTGGGGTAAGTAAGGCTTTTACATGAGGTTAATAAAAGGCAAGATGCTAAACAAGGAACCCATTAAAAATACTGGATGTGGAATCTAATCTGCCCAACTGAAGTGCCTACCTTGGCCATTACTTTGACTATTTTTACATGCGTACTACTGAGGAGCAATCAAGATTTTTAAAAGTATGGCATTAAAGTTCCTTTGAGATAAGTGGAAAATTAAGTACACTCAAGAACCCACAGAGGGTGATCCAGTCCACTTAAACTTCTCCCAGCTGAAAACACAGATCTCCAAAGCACTATCACAAACACCAAAGTTAAGAGCACCTTGTACCTGTTCTTGCAGAGTACAGTTACACAGTCTTCATGCAAGAATGGGTCCCTTTGGAGTCATAGTGGGCATTTGTGTACTTTCAATATTGTTATAACACATTTTTTGTGTTGGGCAATTGTATGCATAAAAGAGCTCTATCCACCTAATAACAGTGCAGGTACAACACAGCAACATTCCCACTCCTTTTTGTTGTAGACTGCAATAAATCTAATTGTTTAGACCTTTTTGGTGACTTAGAAATCAGAAACTAAGTGGCTGCCCACATAGAGTTGCTGTGTAAAGCTAAAAACAGAAAACATGGCAGGTGAATGCACTTTTCCAGGGGAATTTTTGGTCAGTTTAGGGAGGCAATCATACATGTTACCACCAAAGGCTAAGGTAGGCTTGGCAAATAAGGAAACTGAATCATCTTGGGTATTTTAGGGAGACTTCAAGTGTCTTTTGAGAAAGGTTTAAGGTAGACTGCATTATATTCTGTGTTTGTAAAGTGCTAACATTACTATTATTTTAGGATTTTGTAAATGCTATTCCCCAATATTTTGTCATGCAAAAAGCACCCTTATTATATAAACCTGGGGTTTAATGTGCTATCTGCATGCAAGTGCTAACTTCAGGTGAGATCATATAGGTGAATTGTGTTCATATTAGTAAGAGATTGCAAGCTCAGGCCTCTGGCAGAAATATATCATGTGCAAAGTGGCTTCTATGTCCCTTTATATCTTCACAGTGATGCATGATCACCAAACAGTCAATGTTGTAACTTGTTTCATTCCATCATGGGTATAAGGAGATTTCTTTTTAGCTTTAATACTGTAAGTTTAAAGTAATTCCCATTACATGAACAGGCCACAAAAGGCAATTCCAGTTCTGAAAGGCAATGACTTATGTCATCACAGCAGAATTTCAGTGGAAAATATTTGGATTAATTGATAAAACTAGACAATCACAGCTTTTATTTAAATGTCTGACAGGTTTTCCAATGCTTTTCACCCTTATATGGATATTAGTAAAATTCTACTTTGAAGACACAGCGTAAGTCATTCTTTCCTACATTGTTCTGTATTCTTGAATTATATTTTTAATTGATTTCAGTGATTACATGCACATCTTTTCCTAAACTTACTGTTATTTTCTCAGGTGCTGGGATATTAATCAAGGCTCTCCTTACTGGTGGTTAATCAAAGGACCTATTATAATTTCTGTTGGGGTAGGAACTTCTGAGTTTGCCAACATTAATTAGAAAAAAAAAAAAGACTGTTAAAATCTGGTTAGTGTTTCCTGAAATGTTGTTTGAAACAAGGAAGAGGAATGGTAAAATTTCTACTGTAATCTTGCCTATGTCCAATGCAAACTAAAAAGAGTCAGAGAACTGACACCCCCACAAAACAAACATCCTACAAACAAATTAAAACTTTCATAGAATTGTTACTAGGGTTGAAATTAACATCAGGTGTGTGGCTAAACCGTCTAAAAGCCCAGAAACATCCATGAATTTTAACATGAACTTTCAAAGTCAGTAAGTTTCTGTTCATAGGTGATAACAATGATGATAACTCTTGAGCCTGACATTTATTGAATAAACTGATGGGCTTTAAATGATTATCATGTATGTTTACTTCCACATGTCTTTGAACCTCAAGCAGTGTTTAAGCAAGCAGGTAATGGATGACCTTAAGGCCATCTATTAAAAGCTTAATTTAATTGGAGGACAGGTGCATACAAATTAGGCATATATACACAAACAATGTAAATGAAGAATCTCAAGTTGAATTCTGGTCATAGTGTGCCATGTTTCCATAAAATTTTATATTTCCTTTTATTGCCATAATTTTTTCTGCTACTAGTGCTCATCTTACATCCACATCTGAAGTAAAGAGATTCAGGGGTTTGCAGTGATGACATTTCTGCTGGAGTGTACTTGAGTCATCACTAATAGATAAAAAGAGATTGGACTTTCTGGTGAAATGTGGACATTCTTAGGCAAAAATAAGCATTCAGCCTCAGCTAAGAAGAGCTGATGTGTACGGACACACAAAAACACATAGGAAGAAACTCTCTGATTGTGGAAAGCTAAGCAGTTTCTCAGACTTTGGTAAAACTGTGCCAAATTGCAGTTGTAGAAAATTTGCAAGTTAGGATTGACCCTAGCTAGCTGTGGAGCTAAGCTAATGCTCCTTAGTTCTCTTTGGAGTCAATAAATAGGAATATGCATTCTTGGTATATGATTCTTCTGACTTACAACAGATGCTGCCTTTAGAGGAGATAATTCATCCCAGACCTCACCTGGGGCTCCACTGACTGTGCTGTCTGGCCCTCCATTAACTACAAAGGGAGAACAGAGTGATCAGCTCAAATACAGTCATCTCATTGTACATACATAGATTTAGTCAGATGAATTCTACTAATAATGTCTAAAGATATAAGCCAGAATTTAATGCAGTAGTCATCTCAGATTCAAAATTATGTGAGCTACAGAAAATAAAAAAAATCACACAAGACATTGGCAAAAATAGTTTCCTAACAAAGTCAGATTCTCAAGTTTTCCTCTTCAGCTGGTTCTTTAAGAAGGAATGCAACCTATTCAGATGCTTGAATGCTATCAACAGGAATTACATTAATAATCTTACACGGATCTCATTGAAACTGCACAAATTGCATAATAACTGATGTAAACCCCCTAGTTTTTAATTGCAAAGTAAGTTTTACACTGGAAAGTAATCTTTATTTTCTTTCCTTCCACCCCCCCCCACCCCCCCCCACAAATATTGTGAACAGGTCAATTTTGTCCTATTTATCAACATCATCAGAATTTTGCTGAAAAAGCTAGACCCTAGACAAATCAACTTCAATAACTCTTCTCAATACAGGTAGTGTATGGAAAAATAATTTAAAATACAATTATTTTAATAATAAAAGCTTATGTCATCTTTTCTAAAGAGAGAAGCACTTGTGCAGTGCCACATACAGGCGTGGTTTGTCTGGCATTAAATTCTAGAAATTTCCAATCTTATCCCATTCCCAAGAAAACTAGTCAAAGGATGAAACTGGATGAAACTCATCTTACTTAATATTTGCCATCTAAAAATGATGTGTTCAGATGTCTACCCTCCAATTACAGTCAATGGGGCCACTAGGAAACCAATCATTGAATACACATTAGATCTCTGATTTAGGGCAAGATAAATTACTCTTTGTAGATCTCCTTTCCCATACCTGGACTACAAAGAGAGGCTGCATGTGACTTTATTTGTAACTGTTTAGTTACAAATAAACATCAAATTTTCAGTGGATCTGATAGGGCAAAGTATGTTCTAGTCCTTTGTGTTTTCCTGAACAGTAATCTCATTCAGAAACACAGAATGTCAAAATAACATAAAAGCCATGAACATGGTATTGCCAATAAGGAAATGAGCATCAGAAATCTATTTCCAGCTCGTTTCTCATTATGCTTTCTGCCCTTGCACTGTAGTCCCAAGAGATATGAACTTCATATGTAAATATTCAGTTAGTCTTTTTAGTTTCTGCTCATTACTGTGACGTATCACATGCCTTAATTTTTACTTAAATTTTACGTTACCTTACTTCTTCTGATGTCCTAAGCTAGACGTCTCTCAAGGTCAACTCTGCTTCTAATTCCATTATTTGGAACCCATTATATTGTCTTCAACTTTCTTCCGGAATACACCAGCCTGGGGGTTCGGCTTTACTTAGAGCTCTGCATTGGATCTTTTCAGGTAAAATGACTTCAAAGGCTTCCTTCTTAGTAGATTTTCTAGTGTAATCTTGTAATACTAGTGTCCACATGACAACTAGTATTACACAAAAAAATATTGGATCTTGAAGCTAGTGTCTCCTCACAGAGTTAGTGGTTCTTTGCTGAGTTATGATATCTGAAAATGTGAGCTACATCACCCCAGCTGTAGGCTAGACTGTATAATTGCAGATTTTGCAAATACAAGGCCAAGTATTTCAGATGTATTTGTAAATTGGGTGATGGGTCGCAGTCAAGCATGTGAAACCTTCTTTGCTACCAGTGTCAATCCACATAGCTTCTCTGACTTCACTAATAAGATCAAGATGATTTGGGCTGGCGTTAAATTATCCAGGGGCAATAAAAGCAGTAGGTCTAACCTCCTTGCTAATTCTTTGTCAAAGAGTAAATTGATAAGCAAACATATGAAAATCAAACAGTGCCTGGTACACCTATCAACCCCAGGCAAACTGCTGCCATTAGGAATGCTCCATGAGTTTCCCTCCTGGGTAAGCAAAATGTTTGGTGTACTTTGAATGCCCCCAACTGGTCAGAGTTGGCACACAGGCATGGACAGCTTGAGGAGCTTGGTGCCAACTATAACAGCTACTGGGGCTGCTCTGACATATCCTCCAGGTGGCTTTTCTACCTGAGTTATGAAGAAGTCAGCACTCAGCTGCCCTTTTCTTTTCTCCCTTTCCCTGTGCTGCACCTCAGAGTCTTCAAGAAACAGACGTGGACAATCCTACCAGACTTCAAAGAAGCATATCTCTCTCTGAATGGTTGGATGGCATCATTTGCCAGCATTCATCACCAAAAATCCAGCAGTTATGTTGGTTTTATCTTCTTGAGAATTTAATCCATTCTGGCATTACTATCCAATAAATCCTGCACATCTTAATCCTGACCATCTGTACCTGGAGCTGGCCTTCATTATGTTAATTAATAATGTAAGAAATAAGTTAACTGAATAAAAGCGTGAGGTGTCTAGCTGGTATCTGATCACATAGGTCTATTGACCTCCTACAATTTTCCTGGGTTTACCTCAGTTCAGAATCTTAACAAAAGTGTTCAATACGCTATAATTTGATCTCATCTGATATATTGCGAAGGCACAGAAGTTGACTGAAAGCTGTATGAGCCCCATACATGGACCTTCCTATGAACTCTATGTTTCCTTACTAATTTACAGCATGTAGAGAATTAGCTCACAGTGTGTTTGGCCATAGAATGGACCATACTTTTGTAAGCATAATGTGGGAGAACGTCAATTGCCATGTTATCTGTTATTGTGAATTCATATCACGATACTGACCTTGGTGAAATGCAAGAGGCTTTCTGAAACTGTGCTAATACTCAACACTTCTGTGCTTTGAGGGTTTTTTTTGTTTTTCAGGGGTTTATTGTAGCAGTTCTCTACTGTTTCCTGAACCAAGAGGTAAGGATAAGGAAACTATATTCTTTACAATATTGCTTTCGCCGCCAGATATATAGAGTTAATAATCAGTTTCATACAAGCAGATAATCAAATCTTTTAGTTCTTAGGATTGTCTGTTAACATGGGAATCAATGAAGATGAACTTAATTTCAACTATCTTCATGGGAATGAAGCCATCTAGCGGAGAAATGAACCTTTACTCCTTTGCTGTTCCATCAAGCTTTTTTTTTTTAGCTTCTTTTTAGCCTTTCTGCACATTTCAGTACTATAGCAGGGCTTGGAAAACCCACGTTAGGTCCAGATCTGAAAGTACAATCTGCTGCAGTGATGCAAAGAGATCTCCATTTACTAAAAGTCTATGACTAAATTGGAAAGAATTTAAATTTATGTTGATTGCCCAATACTGAAATATTATTTTTTATTATTTTTAATATGCTTATGAAGCTTCCTACTATTACTGCATGTTGATGAATCTAATTTTACATTTAGAATATGTAAGTTGGAATTTTACTGTTAATGGGACAGGAATAATTTCATTTAGCTTAGTCTCCAGATTCATTTATATAGTTTAGATGTTATGATTAGAATGCATCTTAAATGAATTATATAGGAAACATAACAGTTTATCCTCCCTATTTTAGAATGGGTTGAAACCGTGAGATTTCCCTCTTTTTTTTTTGACTACAGGGTAGCTGAGACAGCTATTTTAGAGTGTGACTTGGGTTCAGTTTTAGACTACACTAAAAGTCTGCTGGTTTCTATCTGCAGCTCCTGATTCATATGTACCACTCAATAGGGTATCTCCTAGTGTCAAAGATGTGTTTAGGTTATGAATCCTATCCCTAATCATCAGTCAGTGAAATATTCAAATGACCAAGTACAGTTGTTTGTGTTAGAGATAGCTGACCCACTCTAGAGTCCATGGTTTGTATTGTTTAAATCTCCATTTTCCAAGTTTAAAGTCTAGGGCTGATTAAGGTTTCAAACAGTATTTAATTGTCCATTTGTGCCATGGTCCACATTCTACTTAATTTTGTCAGAAATTTCTGACAATTTAAAACAAATATCTTCAAATACAATACAATACCTTTCTTAGCCTTTTGATTTAGTTTATGGCTATGAATTGTTGATGTCTCTAATGTTGCTTGTGTTCAGTTAATACTCCTGTTCATTAGTCTATTAACAATTCTAATCTCTCCTGATGGTAGACCATAGGTTTACATTCAGTTTGACATCTCAGACATACAGCACTTCAATATAGAAATTTCCTTCTTGTCAAACATTTAGGAAGGTACATTTCTAGTAAGAATCAGATGTGAAAGCAGACTTTAGGGGCTTGTCTGGACCCACTGTATGTTTCTGTGAACATGTCAATGAGTGGCATATCATAGAATAGTCATAGAATGGTTAGGGTTGGAAAGATCATCTAGTTCAAAACCCTCTGCCATGGGAAGGGACAGCTGACACTAGACTATGTTACCCAGGCCTCTGTCCAAGTTGGCCTTGAACACTGCCAGGGATGGAGCATTTACCACTTCTTTGGGCTGTTCCAGTTTATTTTATATATATGTATCTGTCAGCAACAGAAAGAAAATGCCTCCTGGTTGCTGACGGCTTTCCACTTACCATCTTAAACACCAAAGCAGTATTATTTCTCAGCCAAAAATTGGTGAATGTTGGTTAAGAAACTTGCAGATTATACTTTCCTAGAAGCAGATGGAAACAAGACAACATCCTTTAGCAACTGAGGAAGAGCAAGCAATGTGGAATTAATGTGTTTAATTGTGTAGGCAATGTTGGTGAGACCATTGCTAGGATACCTTTTCAAAGGGTTATTTAACATAAATGGGAGAAGGTATAAAAAACCTGAGAAAATATTGTGATGGTGAAGAAAATGTTTTACAGTGCTAGTTAGAAATCTCAACCTCCTCCAATTTCTCAGAAGAAACTTGAAGTGACTTGGCTATGCATAAAGATATCAAAATATAACTACTTTGATGGGAGAAAGCTACTTGGTGCTAATAGACTTTCCAGTTCAGTGGAGGAAGGGGAACAGAGGACTACCAGGTAGAAATTGAAAACAGATAAGTTAAAAATGGAAGTGGGACTGTCTTCATTTATTTCATTATGCGACAGGTCTAATAATTAATTTTGATTGTTGGGACCGTAGTCACTAAGTAGGAACACAAAACTGGTCAGACTCATATAAACTATGTCCTTTCTTCTTGTAAGGAAGAGTGGGGCTCATTTTCTCTTTTCAACATTGGAAGCTAACTGAATTAGCCACACAAGATATTTTCATCAGTGCAGAAGGATGGGCATGTTGAGCAGGCCAGATGAAACACTCTCTGGAAGATCCTACTTTTCCCTGCTAGCTAGAAAGAGAGTCCAATGGACTTAGATGACTAAATTTTACCACTATTTTTTTTAGCCACTGTTGTTGTCTTTCCTCTTTCTCAGCAGTCTACTCCCAAGCAGTATTTGACCAAAAAATCACATTCTTCTTTCCTTTTGAGGTGCAAACGGAAGTTGGACGAAGGTGGCACCGTAAGAGATATGGACTTATGCCAGTGTGGAAAAGGACAAGATGGACTGTGCCATCCAGTTCTGGAGTAAAAATGACCACATCTGTGTGCTAAAGATGGCCTCAGGATCTGGAGTAATCACGTATAAGAGCTTAAGGAAAAAAAACAAGCAAACAAAGAAACCAAAAAACCCACCAAACATAATGATTGCTGTTATACTGAGCAAATTGGAGGAGGACCCCCTTCCACAGCAGTTCTTTCCACTGGACAAGCATTTCAGTGATAGTTTAAACACTGACTGGCCTTCTAAATAGTATCAATATACCATCCATTACAGCAAACACAAATATCAACTCTTCTTGATTCACTTCCTGTACACTTTCACTGATGAACCATGTGTAATGGCATAATGTGTCTAGGGAGTGGACACCAATAGTACCCTACAGTGACACCATAGACGACCAGCTCTGAAAACTGGAATTCAATCCTGATGCAATGGGAGATGGAGTCTACCCAGCTTTTTCAAACTTTGTTCCTTGTTTTGATTCAGTAGACATGCAAAAAAGAAACCAAATGCCTTGTTAAACTGCAACACATTGACTAAGAAGTCCTCTGACATTGTCGTTTTTATATTGTCTCTTTAAAAGTTTCAAAGTTCACAATAAAATGCAAGGCCGTCTCATGTTCTGACGTTATTTCAGTAGCTACAGGTTAGAGAATTTCTGACAGACAGGTAGCAGTAAGCGGAGGTGTTGGGAAGGATGAGGCTCCATAAGATAATCATTAAGGATTTACTGCCTTTTGCAAGTAAGTTAAAAAGAAAAGCAAACTTTTGCACAGAAAGAGAATGAGACCCATGGGAGATGACTAGGACATTGTTAGGAATACTGCTAGGTACTTTCTTATGTGTAACTGGTTTTGCTCTCCAGTGCTGTTAAAGATGCAGAAGCTTGAAAATGAACTTTAATTCCCAGTGTTTGTATGTGAAGGCATTTGTTTATTTGTTTTACTTTTGTTTAGGTTTGGGTTTTTTTTTCCCCCAATGGTTGTTGTGACCTGTAGATTAATAGTTTGATAAACCTTTTTGATGGGAACATCTAGGCTTGGAAAGGGGTAAAGAAAGCTAAACTGACCCAAATAGTGAGGACTATTATACTGATACATTTTCACATGGCTTTTCTGGACATTTCAGTGAGCTGGAAAGTCCTATTAAACAACAGAAATTATAATAGAGAGAAGTGGACTTTCCTTACTTTTTCCTTTACTGTGTCCAGGTAATTACATCTAACTTGAAGAAGTGAAATGTTATGTCATCTAGTTTTTATGTAAACAAGACAGAGGTCTCTATCAACTAGAATAGAGCCCAGAGTAATAGATTAACTAATACGTCTAAATTTTACTCATCTCTACACATAAATGCTTAGATAGAAAATTTCCTACAGCTGCTGCATTTCTGCTGTTGTATAATTACCTGTGAAGTGGCAGATTTACTCTGGAGGCCATCATGCTCCGTAACTGAAAGATAGAAGAAGAAGCAGTAAGAAAGAAAGAAATTTTTTTCTTCTGTGAACAGATCAACCTTTGTCTGGCTCAGCTGATTTCTGAATGTGTGATGTTGCTTTCTTACCACCATGTCTCAAGCAGTGATATAATGTGTCATATTAAGACTCTTATAAGTCTTGACTGTATCAAATAGATTTTTCTGGCCTGCAATTCTGTGATGTTGTTACCATGGTGAGTCTGACCTTACATATACGTTAGTAACAGATATTAAGGCACATGAATACATGGACTTCTCAGGGCTCTTGTTCTCTGCTTTTATAGAAGCCTGCATTAAAGGTTTGGCCCAAAATCCATCTGAATCAAGAATAACGGCATTCTATCCAAATAATTTCCATTGGCTTTGTATCATATATAATAAGGGTAATTATTTGGCTGTAGTAAAATACCTGCAGCATCCATTCTCACTTAAATAGGGTGATCAAACACTAGGTCTTTTTCCTTTTCTAGTCATCTCACCTTTTTCTAACATGAACAGAGGCAAGAATCTTCAGAGAGTGTTTCATTTCTTCCTCAAATAAATAGCTCAAATAAATAGGGGGAATTTTTACCGAGCTCAACACTAGCTTAAGAGCATGTGCACACTTACTGCATGAGATTATGTTTCTGCAAGTTCTTGCCTGTCACATGCAAAGTTTGATAAAACAAGTATGAAAAGTGTGAGTAACAGAAACTCCTTAACCTTTGCAGAATAAATTTTGCTAAGTATGATTTACTTTCACTTGGAGTAGGGCCAAAACAATGGAAAACTGACCTTATGATAAAGAATCATTCCCAGGGTGTGCAAATTGCTACAGGGTTTACACTGCAGTAAGTCAATACAGAAGTAAAATCAAGCTTCCATGTGTGACAGCTGAGACGATCTAATTGCAGGCTGCAGAAGGAAATAAAAGATCAGCAGTTTTAAGTGCACTTATCAGGTTTCTACCAGCTTAGGTGAAACTTAAATCACTTGGACTTGCTTTTGTATTGTATCACAACCGATTGTCTGACATTGATTAACTTTTCTCGTAATTTTAAAGACACCTGTCAGATTCCTAAAAACAAGTAATATTTTTGACAGCATGGCATCACTAAGACCCCATCTTCCATTTATTTTTCTGAATGGAAATATCTCACTGTAGTGTATTTGATTAATTTCTTCTACACCACACATTCAGGTAGCATTTTCTTGTCTGTCAATTTTGTCCTCAAATTTTATTTTTTTTTCTCAGTCAGGCAATCACCCTTTTATACTTTTTCATATGTCTATCTTACTACCTTACACTGTTCCCACACACATTATATAACTATATAATGTCATTGGCGAACTTTCTCCTACAAACAGTATATATTTTCTATTTTTTATTAACAAAATGAAATGGTGCATCCTATAATGACTAACAATGAACACTTGTGGTTCTGCTGTCCTGTCTAACATCAAGACAAGGTTACTACTGTTTTTACATCATAAAATAATTTTAGATCTGAGTGAAGCAGGCGCAGCTTTTCAGTATTTTGCTTTATTTGAATTATGATTCAAGCTGTAATATAGTAAACACTTGGTTAATCTGCCAAGGAATTTCCTACAGTGATAATGGCATTGACCTTACTGTAGGACACTGTAGAGAATACTAAAATGTTAGAAGTGTCCCAAAGTGTCTAGTGTGATTTAGATTGATTATTCTAATAAAAACTCTGCTGGTAAAATCTGTTATCTAAACCAATTTTTACCTGAAATTCTTTCACATGTTAAGATCCCAGATCTTCTGTGTTGCCTGTGTGTAACCATAAGAAAAACAAGATGTCCCTGCCTATCCATAATGAAATGGGAACAAGCATGAAACTTCTTTTACTTATAATGGTACTGTTCCCTGATTATCAGGAAAAAGTATGGAAATTGAGATCAGACATACATAATTGGCATCAGCTTTGACTGAAAGAGATACAATGACATCTACACAATCACTGTCCAGCTGGAATTGTGCTCTCATATTATCAAATTAAGATATTAATATGGTATCCTGAAGGTGAGTGTCTTGGAATTCTCCATAAAGAATAAAGCTTTTAATCGTATTTTGCCTACTGTAAATATTTCAGAATGATGTGAGGTTTTTGGTTAGTGAAAGTGATTTTATAACTTACTATGAAAATGTTCGAACTAAAAAGAGAATTAAAATTAAAAAACTTAAAAAGAGAATTGCATTTTGTATGAATATATCCCAATTTTTATGCTTGCAGAACACCAGTGTTCTTCAAATACAAATAAAAATACACTGTGTTTGAATCTTATAATATAAAATTACTGGAAAAGATTATTTCTAATGTATTTTGGTTCAAATGCTATCAATTTTTAATATATATTAATATTTTACAATCTGAGTAAAGGGAAAAGATTATTTGTAATTTTATGTAACAATAGATTTTCCTGACTTTTTATGATTGAACAAAACTGCTGTACTAAAGTGGACAATAAATACTTTTCTTAAAGTGACAGGAACACATCTAATAAATCCTCAATATTTCAGTGCACACACAGATGACTGCAATAAATCTGTGTTTCTTTATTTCCCCTATTATGCTCATTTAACTTGACAGATTATTTATCTGTACCATAATTGGTCATGTGCAGAGCTGTCTTCATGATGATGACATAATAATTATATAATCCTCTCTTCTGATCAACCCACTTCCACATTGGAGGGCTATGGGTATCCATTTTCTTTTCCCAAATTTGACTGCAGTCAGATTGATCTTTAACAAGTTTTTGCATGTTTAAATTATTAAAAGAAAAATTTATATCTTTCTTATAATTGATAACGGTGAAGCCACAGATAGAAAATATTGATTGGGCCAAACTTCACCTAGAAATTCAATAAAGCGGTGTTAAGGATGTGCGAAGACACAGCTGAAGTGAGTCTTTTCTCTTTCTTCAACAACAATGGATGAACCAGAAATTACTAAACTGGGTTGCCAGTGATCAGGACAAGCAGCCAGAACTGCACCATTAAACTGTGAACAGGATTCACCTCTAGGTATTGTAACTAAGGAAGGTTAGGAAGTTATGAAAAGGTGAGGTAGTGCCTCCCCTGCTTTACTCAAGCAGAAGCTTTTTTTTAATAGCTGAGGTTGATTTCCAGCCAGGTAAAGTTCCTTTATCCAATGGACTATATCTGCATGAGTTCTGGTACCAGCACACGGGAAATTTTAGAAACACCTTTTTTTGGTAATAGCATTAATTTCTGATGATTTGAAAAGATTTTAGAAACTAGATGAGCATCCACACCTAATCCACACTGAGTGCATTAACAGGTTAAGGATTTTCTTTGTCTCCTTACTGAACTGGTAACAATACTGTGTAAACCAGGACATTGAGTCCAAATCAACTTGATGGGAAAAAGCACGATATTCTCTTTATATTGTGTTAACTGTGATTTTCTATCCAGTAAGGTCTACAGTAACAAGGTAAAATTTTGTCAGGCAACATGAAAACATGTTAAAGGAAAAAGAGCAGTGCCAGTCTAGAGGCGGGAGGTTTTTTCCTTGGCAAGTTCCATCAGCCCATGTGCAATCCT